TGGGTGGCCTTGGCGGCCGTCGGAACTTTCCTCAGCACAGTCTTGTACGGCTCAGGGCCGCGCGCAAGCAGCGGGGCGATGCGGAACTCGTCGCCGAATTCCTTGCCAACCTACATCATGTACCTCGCCACGTCGTTGTCCCAGTCGACCAGCTGGTCCGCGAACGGCTTCTGGTCGTCCCACTTCGGGTTGAGCAGCCCGCTCAGCATCGCAGCAAACATATAGCCGACTCCTGGCTCGTACTCGTTCTTGATCGCGCGCCAGGCCACGAAGCCCTCGTGCCTGCCCGCGAGCGTCACCATCGCCAGCGCCTTGCGCTGAGTCTTGGTCACCAGCATGGCGTGCAGCAGCTTGCTCGTAGCGGCCGCTCGCTCGCCCATGCTCACGCTGCCCACTGCCAGCTGCGGCTGGGCCTCCACATTATCGATGAGGTCGTCCCAGCCCATCAGCGCGAAGAAAGCGTGGGCCTTGATGGACCAGCTCGGCCAGTCCTCATCACGCCCACTGAACTCTGGCAGCCTGATGTCGCCACGCCAATCCACCAGCTGCTCTCGCGGCGCCGCTGCCATCGGCAGCCCGCTCTATCCGTGGATCGTAGTCTGAATATCTCACACAACCACGCTCCCCGCTACCATGGAGGAAGTTCGCGTAAGCAAGGGGGAATACGTCACCCTATGGTCGTTGTCCTCCAACACTGCTCGAGCAAAAGGGCCTGCGGACGGTGCAACCCTCGATGCATTTGAATTGGCAACGCCTGGAATCACAGAGAAACCCGAGCATAAGTTGGCATCTCTGGCGCAGCACAACCTATATGAGGAAAATATAAGGACATACGTCCCCAGAAAATAATTGAAGGAACTTGGAGAAATCCCCAGCATAAATTGCAGTTATACTCAAAAGCGTTGAGTGATGAATTATGAGTACATATCTATATATGTATGATACTAGCACGGGGCGTATACATTGTTAATGTGTATATATAAATACATGCGTACGCATACACATTATAGTGGCAGAACATTATGTATACACCATGGCTCAACTAATGCCCACCCACAAAGACCCAACAGGGGCCTACGATGGCCCAGTGCCAATACGTCCAAGAGGGCCCCGAGAGAGCCCCAAGAGGGGCCGTTGAACGCCCCTGGAAGACCTAAGATGCATCCAGAATGAACCCAAGAGGGCCCCACGAATGCCCCATGGGGACCCCGAGACGCTCCAAGAGCGAAACATATCCAAATGCCCTGGCTGTTGATTCCAGTCGTCATCGTCGTCGTCGTCGTCGTCGTCGTCGACGGGTGGTCGAACCACTTGGTGAGCGCGCGGCAGATAGGCTCGACGTAGCCTGGTGGCGTCTCGAAGGGCTTGCCCTTGACCTCGGCCTCCGCGCTGTCGGGCCCCTGGGAGTCGAGGTAGACGGGCCCCTGGGTCTCTTGAAGGCTGGGGGCGGAAAAGAGGGGGCGGACATGGGGGGGCTAAGGTCCTGGACTCTAGTCCACGGGAAGGAAGGTCTCATCAACGTTCATTGGTTCAATGTCGGACCACCCAGCGGAAGCCCCCCGCAGACGCCTGAGAGGGTGCCAGGTGCTAGGATCTCGAGAGGGAGCTAAGAATGAAGGTTTGGGAAAACTGCGAGAGAAGGCCCCAAGGAGGCACCAAGATGGCCCCAGGATGGTTTCAAGGGGCGTAATCGCCGCCGCCACTGCCGACGTCAATGTCGCCGTTATCCTCGTCGCCCTCGCCGCCCTCTCTTGGGGCCAGCGAAAGCCTTGAGGAGGGCCCAAGGGGGCCCTGCGAGGGGCTCGAGAAGGCCCCAGGGGGCGCCAAAAAGAGTCCAATGGGGGGTCCAAGAAAGCTCCGAGAAGGCCCCAAGAGGGCCCCCAAAGGAACCCAAGAACGCATACCGTGGCCATGTCGTCGTCGTTGCGGGTGGGCGTGCGAACGACACTGGGAGATAGGGCGCTCTTGGAGTCCACGTGGGGGTGTCCACGTGGGGCCCTCTCGGGACCCTGTGAGGGGCCCGAGATGGGGTTCTAAGAGAGGTCCGATGGGGGGCGCCAGGAAGCCTCAGAAGGCTTTGAGAAGGCCGCAGGAGGCCGCAAGAGGGCCCTGCGAGGAGGTCGAGCTGGCCCCAGGGGGCTTTCAGAGGGGCTCAAGATGGCCCCCGTGGGCCCCCGGGGGCTCCAAGAGGGGGCCATGAGGGCTCCAGGGAGATTCTCACAAGGCCCCAGATCAGGGAACCGACACCTCTCCGAACGCGCGGGTTGCGGTTCACTTATACGGGTGGCTCATGAGAACCTCTGGGAGCGTTAAGAAGACCCCCAAAGGCCCCAAGAAGGCCCAAGAAGGGCCCATTGGCCCAACAAGGTCCCAGAGGGCCAATAGGCCCCATGAAGAGCGCGAAAGCCCCGAGAGCTCAAGAGGGCCCCACTACGGCCCCAAGAGAGCACCAGGAGGGCGCCAAGTGCCCCAGGAGGGCCCACATGGAAGATTGTTGAAACCATACTTGCATATCAAGCCACTATGTCTGTACAATTATTTCCTGATGTTTGTTCCTAACCCCCGCCGATTGCCCTGACAGTCGGGAGCTGTCGGGAGCTGTCAGGAGATGGCGCTGTCAGGGGCGCAGTTTTTTAGGTATGCATCAAGCAAAACGATTGTTTCCCGCGCTGTCGGGAGTTATGCTGGTCCAGGGGGGCGCTGTCAGGACGCAGTCGGGAGATTGGCGGGAAATCAATTGAGGGCGCGGCATCGGGCCTCCCAGTCACCGAGCGAGGTCTGTGTCAGACTGGGCTGGCTCAGAGGGCGAGGTCAGGTGGGGAATGAGGGTTGGGTCAGCGGGCGATGAGGGGGGGCTGAGATGGGATGGGGGGCGGGTGAGAGGGGAGGAGGACAGGAGGGTGAAGTAGAGAGGCAGGGAGACGGGGAAGGCGCTCTTTCAGCAGCGCCCCCTACCCCCAAGCCACGCGACCTTCTCAGGCCAATGGGCCCTTCTTGGGCCTTCTTGGGGCCTTTGGGGGTCCTCTTAAAGCTCCCAGAGGTTCTCATGAGCCACCCGTATAAGTGAACCGCAACCCGCGCGTTCGGAGAGGTGTCGGTTCCCTGATCTGGGGCCTTGTGAGAATCTCCCTGGAGCCCTCATGGCCCCCTCTTGGAGCCCCCGGGGGCCCACGGGGGCCATCTTGAGCCCCTCTGAAAGCCCCCTGGGGCCAGCTCGACCTCCTCGCAGGGCCCTCTTGCGGCCTCCTGCGGCCTTCTCAGAGCCTTCTGAGGCTTCCTGGCGCCCCCCATCGGACCTCTCTTAGAACCCCATCTCGGGCCCCTCACAGGGTCCCGAGAGGGCCCCACGTGGACACCCCCACGTGGACTCCAAGAGCGCCCTATCTCCCAGTGTCGTTCGCACGCCCACCCGCAACGACGACGACATGGCCACGGTATGCGTTCTTGGGTTCCTTTGGGGGCCCTCTTGGGGCCTTCTCGGAGCTTTCTTGGACCCCCCATTGGACTCTTTTTGGCGCCCCCTGGGGCCTTCTCGAGCCCCTCGCAGGGCCCCCTTGGGCCCTCCTCAAGGCTTTCGCTGGCCCCAAGAGAGGGCGGCGAGGGCGACGAGGATAACGGCGACATTGACGTCGGCAGTGGCGGCGGCGATTACGCCCCTTGAAACCATCCTGGGGCCATCTTGGTGCCTCCTTGGGGCCTTCTCTCGCAGTTTTCCCAAACCTTCATTCTTAGCTCCCTCTCGAGATCCTAGCACCTGGCACCCTCTCAGGGGTCTGCGGGGGGCTTCCGCTGGGTGGGGTCCGACATTGAAACAATGAACGTTGATGAGACCTTCCTTCCCGTGGACTAGAGTCCAGGACCTTAGCCCCCCCATGTCCGCCCCCTCTTTTCCGCCCCCAGCCTTCAAGAGACCCAGGGGCCCGTCTACCTCGACTCCCAGGGGCCCGACAGCGCGGAGGCCGAGGTCAAGGGCAAGCCCTTCGAGACGCCACCAGGCTACGTCGAGCCTATCTGCCGCAGCTGCCGGCGACGCACAGATTCGCGTTGCCGGGACGGTAGTATGAAATATGTGTAAATATGTGTATATATATATATATATATATGTCCATGTGTACGTATGTGTGTATGTGGCACCGTGTATATACATATAGTCATCGCTATCTGTGTCGATATAAACACATGCATACACATACATACGGGGTTGTTCCAATTATTTCAACTACATCCAACTATGTGCCAATATTGTTGTGTCCTTCATATTATTTCGAAGAGTTTCCCAGGTTGTCTTGATGATATTGATTCGCGATGTATCCGAGCGAGCCACTATATACTATATGCATACGTACTTGATCATTTCAAGTAGTTCAATTACATCTAATTATGGATTGATATGGTTTTGTTTCCTTCAATGTTGCTCGAGATGTTATTTTCCTCTTCTCTGGAAAATATTTATTTGTGATGTATCTCAGTAAACAGAATCATAATCATCATCATCACCACCATCACCATCATCATCATCATCAGCATCATCAGCATCATCATCATCACGATCATCATCATCATCAGCATCATCACCATCATCATCATCATCACGATCAGCATCATCATCATCATCATCATCATCATCATTATTATTATCGTCGTCGTCGTCGTCGTCATCATCATCATCATTATCGTCGTCGTCGTCGTCGTCATCATCATCATCATCATCATCATCATCACCATCACCATCACCATCACCATCACCATCACCATCACCATCACCATCATCATCATCATCATCATCATCATCATCATCATCATCATCGTCGTCGTCGTCGTCGTCATCATCATCATCATCATCATCATCATCATCATCATCGTCGTCGTCGTCGTCATCATCATCCTCTTCCTCATCCTCTTCCTCATCCTCGACGTCGTCATCATCGTACTGGTCGTCATCGAGCATCGACGAATACCATGGCGACGTCAAATACGCCGGCGACGAGGGCGACGACGGCGAGTCCTCCCCTGGCAGATCTAACAGCTGGAGGGAGGACACGTACGCGAGGCGGTCCACCGCGTTCCAGGCTGGCCTCGTCGCGACGCCATTCGGGGCAAGCGGGCGCCGGGTCGTGACCTGAGCGCGAGGGTCGGGAGGTAGCAGGTGAGGAGGAGGAGGAGGAGGAGGAGGAGGAGGAGGAGGAGGAGGAGGAGGAGGAGGAGGAGGAGTGAGGGGGAGTAAGGGGAAGGGGTGGGGATGAGGAATGATGATCAGGAGGGAGGAGGAGGACGAGGAGGAGGAGAAGGATCAAGGCGTTTGGGTAATGTTCAGCCCTGGATGTGGAGGGAGTGCGTTGGACGTTTCGCGCTCCTGCTGGAGCGCTCCTGAGCCAAATGCCCATATTCGACGGCGCGCGTGCAATTGGACGGCGGCAATGAGCTCTCACTGACAAGCGCACACAACAGCTCACTGACCCTCAGACCGACACGGAATCCCGCCAAACTCGCGAACAAATGCGTTCCCGACTAACTGGGATCGGCTTTTCCTCCCGAGCCGGCGGAGGCCGGGAGCCTGGTGGGAGGCCCCCGCGGGCGGCTGAGCCGCTGCACCCCTGCTCCCCAGGGGGATGGCTCCGGGGGCCGGCCGCCGGACCGGCACGCGCGTGCAAGGCCGCACACGGCCGTGCACGCGCGTGCACGGGGTCGTCCCAGGCCGCTCCGCTGCCTCGGCCTGTGGGACGGCACAGTCACCAGGCGTGTCCTGGGCCCGTCCTGGGTTCAGCCAGGGTCCGCCGGGCCCCTTCCTGCTTTTTGCTCGTTCGCATGGCAGCACGGCGAGGTGCAGAGGCGGTGGGCGCTGCTGGGGAAACCGAGAAGTTCCGATACCGCTGCTCCCCAGACCTCCCTCGGGGTGCGCTCTGGCCAGGATCCCGAGGCGAACCCGGCCGTGGTGACGAGGGCCTACCAGGAGGCCAAGGCCGCGGTATCGGAGCCTGTTCTTCCGCTGAGCCGATACTGGGTTTGCCGGTGGGGCGCGCCGCGGCGCCCACGCCGGGAGCGGTCAGCATCCGATCGATGGAGCGGCTCGGAACGTGCGCCGCCAGAATATGACCAAATCCTCTGCTGCTGGGTCGTGTTCCGAGGACTCGGGGAGCGGGGGGTATGGATATATCTGCCCGCCAACGCGAACGGGCAGATATCCATATCCACCGCTCCACGAGATTCCAGGGCACGACTCCGAAGCGGTGAATGTGGACATATTCTGGCGGTGGAGGAACGTGCATCGGATCGGGCCACATCGGCGCGGAGTCGCAACCGAATCGAATCGGCCTTGCCAAAATGTACAACCGCGCCACGCTGGCATCGAGAGACATCGGGTCGTCGGAATATCGGAATCGAATCGGATCGGATCGGGCCAGCCGAAACCAATCTCGAATCGGATCCATGAAATTCTAAACACACCATAACTCAGGCATCAGGCGGCCGCTCGGGACGGTAACAGGCAGTCGACGAGGCGCCGCTGATGGAAACCACCCCTCGCCCCGAAAATCTTCGAGAACCTCGGAGAACATCCCAAAGCAGCCAACAAAATCGCCGAGCACCTCCGAGCACCTCCGAGAACCTCCGAGACCGTCCCAGATCCCCCAGCCACATCAGAAGCGCGCACGAAAACCCACGAGAGCGAAGGAGTGCAGCACGAGACGGCGCCCAGAAAAAAAACACACGCCAGAACGCTCGGGAACCTCCGAAAACCTCCGAGAGCCGCAGCAGCTGCCCGCGAGCCTCCCCGAAGCCTCCGCGGTCGCGCCGCGGCGGCCCCCCGCGCGCCACCCTCCAGGAGGGGAGGCCCGCGGCGCGCCGCGGGAGGCGGCCCGAACAGAAGCCGCCCTCGGAGGCGGCATGCCGCCGACGCTCCGACAGGGGCGCGGGGCCAGTCCCGCCTCTCGTCCGCCGCGGGCGGGGGAGGAGCGAGGGGAGGGAGGGGGGGGGGGGAGTGAGGGATTCTTTCGGATTGCACTCGCGCTGAACCTGGCGGCTGTCGCGCAAGAGGAGTGAGGGAGGGAGGGAGGAGGGAGGGGGAGGGGGGGAGGGGGAGGGAGCGCTCTGAGAGGAGGAGGGGGGAGGACGGAGGAGGGAGGAACAGGGAGGAGGAGAGGAAGAAGAGGGAGGGAAGGAGGGAGGTCCGGGTCGAGCTGCGAATTGCCAGCTTGCATGTGTCATCGGAGTGACGCGGCCGCAGGGCCCTTGAGAGCGGTGGAGGGCGGAGTAGACCAGGAGAACGGGGAGGAGGCGGAGGTGAGGCCAATACTTCGCCTCCGTGCCTGGAGGCACGAGTGGGAGTGCCGTCAAGCCCTTTAAATCCTCAGTTCTGAATCGTGCGTCCTGAGCGTTGGACCTCACGAGGCCCAGGCCCCACATGCACAGAATTTCCAAGCAGGCCGGTGTCCCCGCAGCTCTCTCGGGGCATGTCGCGTGGCTTTTTCCGACGCCAAGGGGGGCCCGACGCGGGCAAAGAGGGGTCCGAGGCGCCTGCAAGACGGTCCAAGAGGCGCCTGGGACGGCCCAAGAGCGTCCCAAGACAACCCGAGATAGCCTCAAGACAGCCCAAGAGGCCCCTGAAGGCGGGCCCCAAAAGACCCCGCAAGAGGACCCCGAAGGGTACGAAAGAACGAACGAACGAACCACCACAGCGGACAGCTGCCCAGGCATGCTAAGACCAGGTCGGTGAAGACATGGCCTCCTGTAGACACACAAACATGCATAGGAGATGCGAAACATACGAATAAAACAGTGCAGCACACAAACATTTATGACGGAGGAGGAGAGAAGGAGGAAGTCCTGGTTGCTCACACCAGCGAAGAGTTGAGGCATGTGTGATCGAATGCCGACAACGTGGAAACGTTTTGAGCTGAGCGAGCCCAGGTGAGGTCGTTCGGCTTGCTTGTCGAAGACGTTGGCAATGGCGTTGGATGCTGGTCGGGTCACTGCTGCGAAAATAACTGACGACATCGTCGTCCCAGAGCTTGCGCTGGCCGCCGCGTTGTCTCTGTCCGCGTTGGCGTAAATTCTCTTCTAGTTGCCAATGGAATGCGCGCCACGTCCATACGGTGGGCTCCTGGCTGGCAACCGTGGATGCCATGCGCCACGATCTCTCTGTAAATCGTCGCCCGGTTTTCAACTTGGTGGCGCTGCATGAGCTGCTCTGCGCGCAGCGTGGCTTGTTGGATGTGGTTGACCCACAGTTCCATCGCGTTCTCGTCATTGTTGTTGTCGATGCTCTCGCTGCGTCGGTCTGTCGTGTCTTGTTGGGTTGCGTTGCTCTCGTTGTCGTCGCTGCTGCTGGTGTATGTATGAACGATGTCAGGCGCTTGGTTTGTCGTGCGGTCGTCCACGTCGCCCTGGATACTGTTAGGGGTCGTTTGGCGGGTAGTGCGTCGCCTTGGTGTCCTGATGATCATGCGGAGCAAGCGTCGCTGTGTTCGCCGCAGGCATTGTCGGAGAGGTTCCGTGAACTTCCATGTCTCTGCTCCGTCAAATGCTCTAGATGTCACTGTGCGGTTGAAAAGCCAGAGTCGGTGCGCCAGCGGGTAGGGCTTGCTTGTCAGCTCCTTCTGACGCGAAGTGAGCGTTGCCCATGCTTCCCTCGTGCGGTGGTGGATATGAGTCTCCATCGCGTCGTGACCGCTGATGAGTTGACCCATGTATTTTATGCTGCCATCGTGGGGAAGGATATCGATGTCTGTCCTGAACGCGCACTGTGCGCGAGCGTCGTTCTGGTCTGGTTGCTGAATATTTTTGTTCTGGAAGGGCGCAGCTCAAGTCCGCGAAGTCGCACTGCGCGCGCGATGTCGTCGAGCATCGCGGTGAGGCGCGGTAGAATTTGGGTGGTCAGGAGCACGTCGTCGGCGAAGCGGAGGTTGGTGAATGCGGAGGTGGTGGTGGATCCTAGCTGGACTCCCTTGCCCTTGTGGAGCCAATCGGTGATCATGTGGTGCAAGGATACGCTGTAGCAAAAGCGTTGACAAGTAAGGAACTGAGCGGGGCGCCATGCTTTGTTCCCCAGGTGACGCTGAAGGACCTGCTGCTGACGTCAGTCTTGACCGTGGCCGTCTGTCCCTCACACAGCTGCTGGAGTAGTGAGATGCGTCCTCGTGTGACGTCCTGCGCCTTCAGTGCTGCCCACATGCTGTCATGCTCGACTGAATCAAATTCTTGTTCGGAGTCTAGCGCCGCTACCCACAAATTCTGGTTCCACTCGCGCGCGCGCCCACGGAGGATGTGGAAAACGAACGGGTGGTCGGTGGTCGAGCGTCCTGGCCTGAATCCAGCCTGGTCTGCAGTTTGTCGGAAGTCAAGTGCTGTTTGCTGCTGAGAAACCTGTTAAAAAATGGAACCGTGAATATTGACCGGCAGTTCTGCAGAAGCGTAAGATCCCAACTTTTGCGAATCACCTTAACGACAATGCTCCTTCAGCTGGTCGGCCGCTGGAGCGTTGGACTGAACGACCGTGCTCTAGGAATAGAGAATGGCGCCGTGCAATTATTCTGTGCCTTCTTTCAACATTTCTGCTCGTAGGCCTTTGATGTCTGGGTGCTTCACCAAGCCTGAACCCTAGTATCGCCTTGTCCAACTCTTCCCCAGTGAAATGTGGTAGGTCGTCGCCGCGTCCCTCTTGTTGCGTCGGCTTCGCCGTGGAGTCGTACAATCGCTCGCAAAACTCCGCGAGTATGTCTGCGATGTCTTGCCAGGCCGTGCGGTTTGAGCCATCTTTGTCTGATATGTGTGTAACGAGTCCGTTTTCTGAGTGTCTTGATGCGCGGAATACTTCTGAGGTCTATGAAGTGTTCGAGCACGCTTTCTGTGTGGGATCATCGTGTCCGCCGCTTCTGCACGCGGATCTCTTGCTGTATCAGTTTGCTCTGGTGTTTGCGGGTGTGGAGGTCGTTGTTTTGGGTCTGGCGTCGCTGTGCGATGAGAAGGCGTAGACGCGCTGTTCCTCGGTCTGGTTGTCGGTGTGGTCGTGGTGCTGCACTGCTGCTAGCGGTGGCGGCGTCGATCCGATTTTTGGGATGTGCTCCTCCAGGGATTGCAGGTCAGTTGGTAGTTCGTCTGCTTTCAATCGTCGTCTTTGGTGGTCGTGGTAGACGCTCGAGCTCATGATTTTGCAGGTGAGAAGCGCTGGGTGGCGCATCTTAGCGCAGCCGCTGGTCGTCGCCGCGGTCGTCTGGTTACTGTTGTTTCTGATATTGTCAACTCGGTAATGACAGCCTTGTGGTTGGACCCGTGGTCGGTCACGCCGTTGGCCTCGACATTCGTGCAGTGCTTGAAGAACTTGCGGTTGGGCAAGATGTTATCGAGCTGTTTCTGTCTTTCGCCGCTGGTGTCTGTGATCTGCTTTCGGTTTGCTGAAAAACGTGCTGACGAAAACAAACCCTTCTTGGGCAACCCAATGTCACAACCGTGTACCTCCCGAGTTTTCGACCACATATCCGTGACGGCCGACACACCTGGAAATGATGAGGTCATCGTCGTCGTCGCCGTCTTCTGTTATACGGGATGCCCCAAACTGGGTGTTGAAGTCGCCATCGAATGTGTGCTTTGCAACTCTCTGCGATGTCGTGGATAGCGTCGCACCTGCAATAAAGATGTGGGTCGCTGCAACCAGTGCGGACAATAGGCGGCCACCAATTGTAATGTCAAGCGTCCTCTGTTCAACAGCATTGTGGCGAGTCTTGGCGAATGGGCTTCAAATCTCTGCATGCTCTTTCTCCAGCGCTTGTGTAGATTCGCAACTCCGTGGCATGCCTGGTCATTGCCAGACCCAGCGAACGTATGCGTTTTCATGGTTGTCCATGGTTTTGTTGCAATCGTCCTCCAAGTCTCGTTGATAAAAGCAGAGAGCCCAATGGCCAGTGTCAAGCTTCGTGATTAGATCGCTGACCTGGTGGTCTGCCGCAAGTGCCTGGGCATTGCTGTGAATGACTGTTACAGTCGGACCTAGGGCAGAATTCGCCGGTCCAACGGGCCAGAGGCGTGCTAAGATCTCCGGTAACTGGTTAACCATATTTCTAGTTCGCGCGCGCGGAGCGGCCCCTGGGGGTCCCCGGACGAAAAGTACCCTGGCAAGGTCCCGGGAGAAGCCACCAGAGCACTCCAGGGGAGGGCAATTTTTCGACACCCCTCACGAGGATCGTGGCCTCCGAGAGGGGAGCCGCAATTGACTACCCACCCCTCCCGCCCCAAGAGGCCCCCAAAAGCCCCCCAAGAGGCCCTGGGGGCCCCCAAGATGCCGCCAAGGAGCCCCAAGAGACTCCCAAGAGGTCCCCAAGAGGCCCCCAAGAGGCCCTGAAGAGGGCTCCAGGGCCGGCGGAATGAGCGAAGCGATCAAATTACATTCTGCAAGAATTTGAGACTCCCCGTCGGCGAAAACAAACAGAACATCCAACGGTACTCTCCCAAGGATACACAAGAACGCCCAACGAACACGACGAATACTAGGGTAGCATCCCCGAACCGACCTCGATCTTATACCTCGGTCCGACTGTATGCGTATGTGCTGGTGGTGCTCGTCAGTGGTAGGTGTCGCTGGCGTTGGTGCTGCTGGTTGGTCGTGGTCGGTGCTGGTCGGGATGGTTTGGTGTTGTCTTGTCGCTGCTAGTCGTTTGCTTTGCTGCTGTTGGGTGGGTATGTGGTCTGCGGTTGCTTGGGTGTGTGTGTGTGTGTGGCTGGTTGTACTGGTCTGGAGTCGGTTGCGTCGTTGTTTGCTCGTCGTTGTTGGTCAGTGCTGGATGATGCGAGCTGGCTGGTGTTAGTCGGTGCCTCTGCTGGCGCTGCTGGCGCCTCTGCTGATTTGCCCTTGGTGTTCGAAATATTGAAGTGCTCCCCGTTTTTCGGGCTTCCAACGCTCCAAGACTAGCTCAGAGGCCCAAACAAAACATCCCAAGATCATCCCATGACGGCCAGACCTCCAGGTCCCAAAGAATTCCCGAAGAGGCCCCCAAGGAGTCCCCCAAGAGGCCACCAAGAGACCTCAAAGAGGGCCCCGAGAGGCATCCCAAGAGATCTTAATATTCCAAGAGGCCTCTGACCCACATCCCAGGCACGGCGGAGCTATGGGCCAAAGGCTACTAGATCCACCGCCCACTGTGGTCTTGCCACAAACGTGCACGGCGTGCCGAACGTCCAGCGAATTCCTGGTTCAGTTCAGAAGAACTCCCACTGGGACTTCGGCTCAACCGCCAGCCTCCCGGAAAGCTCCTCAAAATCCCCTCTCGTTGGTCAAGTTGTCTGCAAGACGGCCAAGATGGCCCCAGATGGCCCCCAAGATGGTCCCCAGACGCATCCAAGACGGCTGAGAAGGCCCCGAAAGAGCCCAAAATGGCGCCAACATGTCTTCAAAACGGCCCAAGGTGCACTCAATACGGCCTAAGATGGCATCAAAATGGCCACCAAGACGGCCCAAGAAGGCACCAAGAGGCCTCCAAGGCGGCCCAAGAGGCCTCCAAGGGGAGCTCCAAGAAGGCCCGAGGATGCCAAAATGAAGGATTTGCCTTGGGTTTGTTTGGGGGTTTGGGCTCTTGCTCCGTTTCGGGCCTCCCATGGCCCAAGACGGCCCAAGAGGCCATCATGATCGCCCCAAGAGCGCCCAAGAGGCCTCCAAGATATCCCCAGGACGGCCGAGGAGGCCCCCAAAACGGCCTCGAGAGGGCCCGCCAAAAGACGGACCAGGAGGTCACCAAGACGCCCAAGATGGCCTCCAAGGCGGCCGTAAAGCGCCAAGAGAAGGCCCCAAAGTCCGTTCAGAAAGGCCCCCAAGACGGCTTCCGACGGCGTCAGACGGACCAGGAACGCTTTCAGACTGCGAAGGAGGTCCCCAAGAAGCTCCCCAAAGCCTCCAAGAGGCCGTAGGAGGCCCCAAGAGGCCTCCAAGAGCCCCCCAGGAAGTTCCCAGTTCCCAGGAGGCGTTAAGAGTGCCCCAGGAGGCTCCCAAGAGGAATTCTCATCCTTCTCCTCATCTTTTCTGTTTCCTCCGTTTCCTCGTCCTCGTCTTCCTCTCCAACACGTTCCCCAAATCGCTTCCACAACGGCTGGGAGAACGCATGGCCCAATAGCGTGGCCAAATTTTGCCCAAACGTTTGGCCGAATAGGCGTATCCTAAAGGCACGGGCGCGGCGGTGATTCACCGTAGGCGTCTGAGATATGAAACAGACAGGAGGGACGAAGGAAGGAGTCAGAATCCGCTCCCCGGAGACAAAAAAAACGATTCTGAGTCATCGCTCGACGTTCGCGGGCTCCCTAAGCCAGGGGCGCTCTCCACCGCGCTCATGCACCCTCGCCTGCGGGGCCAGAAACGCACAGACCACCAGCATCACACACGCACACACACACACGTACAAACACACACACACACACACACACGTACAAACACACACACACACACACACACACACACACGTACACACGTACACACGTACACACACACACACACACACACACACCACACACGTACACACACACACACACACACACACACACACACACACACACACACACACACACACGTACACACGTACACACGTACACACACACACACACACACACACACGTACACACACACACACACACTTCTTTTGGCGACCGCGACCTCGCGCGCAGCGACGAGGCGAATAAAGTCATGCACGGCGCACGGGGACCCGCGCGCGCCGGCCTCAGAACAGGGCCACACCACGTGCCATCTGAGCGTGGATGGCGGGGAGAGGCTGGGAAGCGGCCGCAGATGAGGGCTGCGCAGGTGGAGCCAGCCGCGCCGGCATCGCAGGCGGGCAAAAGGCTGGAGGGCTGGAGGCAAGCGGCCCGCTTCCCAACCGACGACGAGGGGCGAGCCTCGGGAGCGGGAGGCGCGCCGCCTGGGCCAGGAAGGCCTGCGGGTGCCGGAGCCGGCTGGATGGTGCCGTCGATGGCTGAGGCGAGGCACCACTGCACGGCTGGCCGTAGTCAGGACACGTCCCGAGCCCGGCTGGCGGCCGGGTGCTCCAGGCTGGACCAGTGCGCGTGGCACTCTGGGGGGGGCACCCGAGGAAGGAGCGCTAGCCTGGGGAGTGCGCTGAGGCGGGCTCTGGGGGGGGGCACGGGGCTACGGCGGACGGAGGGCAAGAGATGGTGTTCGGCCAGTCCTCGACAAGCGCCTTCCACTACTCGCAAAGTAACTGCTCGTAAATGGCCTAGATCCGCCATAGGGGGGATTCACGATCCATGACATCGGGGCGAACGTGTATTTTTTTCGAACGTTTGCGAGCAGGCACTTTGTGAGTAGTGGAACGTGCTCGGTGAAGTCCCTGGGGCCCAGGACAGTAGCGTACACGTCCTCGATGTCGAGTGCTGGGACGGAGAGGCTGCTCAATCAAGTCCCGCGCGGAGCTGCCGACTCGGAACCACTGGGAGGGGATGCGCCCAGGTCGCCGCCGCGCTGGAGAGAGGACCAGCTGCTGAGGCCGCAGGGCGGGAGGCACCGCACCCAGATGAGTGGGCCCAGGGCCAGCCGCAGCAGCGGTGGCACATGCCAAAATGGCGGCAGCAGCCCCAGAGAGCGGGACCAGCGATAGCAAGCGAGACATTGGAGATGTGGCAGCCGGGGCAGGCCGGCCAAGTAGACACGCCAGTCGGCGCAGGGCCTCCAGGCACTGAAGCGGACGCTGCTGATGAGGGCGGCAGCTGCCAGGACGGGCCAGGGCAGCGGGAGGCGGGAGGACAAGAGCAGACACACACACACACACACACACACACACACACACACACACACACACACACACACACACACACACACACACACGCCCACGCCCACGCCCACGCCCACGCCCACGCCCACGCCCACGCCCACGCCCACGCCCACGCCCACGCCCACGCCCACGCCCACGCCCACGCCCACGCCCCTGCTCCTCCTCCCTCCTCTCCTCCTCCTCCTCCTCCTCCTCCTCCCTCCTCCTCCTCCTCCTCCTCCTCCTCCCTCCTCCTCCTCCTCCTCCTCCAAATCTGCTTCGAAAGCGAAACATGTTGGAGGAGAAAAAGGCAAAACCGCCTGAGACATCCCCATAAACAAATCCGCGAAAGGGGCTGAGGGAAAGACCCCCCGCCGCCCCCCCTTAAGTGCTGAAACCAGCGAATCGCCTGAGACATCCTCGCAAACTGCTCCGAAAACGAAACATGTTGGAAGAGAATGGCCAAACCGCCTGAGACATCCCCACAAAAATCCGCGAAAGGGGCCGAGGGAAATACCCCCCCGCCGCTCCCCTTAGGAGTGCTGAAGCCACAGAATCGCCTGACACATCCTCAACATCAATGTGTGTGTGTGAGTCATCCGATGAGTGGACCCGAGTGAGTGTAGTGAATGTATGAGTACAAGTACGAGTGAGTCTGAGTGATGAGTGGGTCTGAGTGATGAGTGAGTCTGAGTGATGAGTGAGTCTGAGTGATGAGTGATGAGTCTGAGTCATGACTGAGTCCGAGTGATGAGTGGGTCTGAGTGATGAGTGAGTCTGAGTGATGATTGGGTATGAGTGATGAGTGAGTCTGAGTGACTGACTGAGTCTGAGTGATGAGGGAGTCTGAGTGATGACTGAGTCTTAGTGGGTCTGAGTGAGAGGAGGTGAGGTGGTGTTCTGTTCTCTCTCTGTTCCTCGGGCGCGGTCCGCCAATAACAAGAACCCCATCTCTTTGGATATGGGGAACAAGCTAACCGCTTGAGGCGTCCCAACAAAACGGCCGCGAACGGGGCGTGCATGAGTCTCAGCATGGGTAGGTCTGAATAGGAGTAGGTCTGAGTATGAGTAGGTCTGAGTATGAGTAAGTTTGTGTATGAGTAAGTCTGGGCATGAGTAAGTCTGAGTGTGAGTCAGTCTGTGTATGAGTAAGTCTGGGTATGAGGAGGAAAGGGGAGGAGAAGAGGAAAAAGGAGTAGGAGGCGTCAAAAAATATCAAGAACCCCATCTTAGGATATGGGGAACAAGAACCCCATCTCAAGATATGGGGAATAAAGAACGTGCCGATGGACGTGCCACGGGACGCGCCACGGAACGTGCCAGGGAGCGTGCCAGGCGACGCGCCACGGAACGTGCTAGAGAACGCGTCAGTCTGTGTATGAGTAAGTCTGGGTATGGGGAGGAGAGGGGAGGAGAAGAGGAAGGAGGAGTAGGAGGCATCCAAGTAATAACAAGAACCCCATCTTAGGGTATGGGGAACAAGAACCCAGAACTCAGAAGAGCGCAGCAAGAAGAGCAGCGGCAACGCGTAAGACGTACCTCTGCTGGGCCTCCCAGGAGCCCGCGAAAGTGGCGACAATTACGCAGATTGCAGCCCCCCAGGGCGCAGCGAGGTCTCGAGGTGGTCCGCGTGGGGCGTACTTCCGCTGGGCCTCCCAAGAGCCCACGAAAGTGGCGACAGTTGCGCAAATCGCAGCCCCCCCCGGGCGCCGCGAAGTCTCGAGGTGGTCCGCGTGGGGCGTACTTCCGCTGGGCCTCCCAGGAGCCCACGAAAGTGGCGACAGTTGCGCAGATCGCAGCCCCCCAGGGGGCGCCGCGAGGTCTCGAGGTGGTCCGCGTGGGACGTACCTCCGCTGAGCCTGTCAGGAGCCAACGAAAGCGGCGACAATTTCGCAGATCGCAGCCCCCCGAGGCGCCGCGAGGTCTCGAGGTGGTCCGCGTTGAACGTACCTCCGCTGGGCCTCACAGGAGCCCATGAAAGTGGCGACAATTTCGCAGATCGCAGCCCGCCAGGGCGCCGCGAGGTCTCGAGGTGGTCCGCATTGGACGCACCTCTGCTGGGCCTCCCAGGAGCCCACGAAAGTGGCGACAATTTCGCAAGCGCCGCGAGGTCTCGAGAGGGTCCGCGTTGGACGTACATCCGCTGAGCCTCCCAGGAGCCCGCGAAAGTGGCGACAGTTTCGCAGATCGCAGCCCCCCAGGGCGCAGCGAGGTCTCGAGGTGGTCCGCGTTGGACGCACCTCCGCCGGGCCTCCCAGGAGCCCACGAAAGTGGCGACAGTTGCGCAGATTGCAGCCCCCCAGGGGGCGGCGAGGTCTCGAGGTGGTCCGCGTTGGACGTACCCCCGTTGGGCCTCCCAGGAGCCCACGAAAGTGGCGACAGCTGCGCAGATCGCAGCACCTCAGGGCGCCGCGAGGTCTCGAGGTGGCCCGCGTGGGACGCACCTCTGCTGGGCCTCCCAGGAGCCCACGAAAGTGGCGACAATTTCGCAGATCGCAGCCCGCCAGGGCGCCGCGAGGTCTCGAGGTGGCCCGCGTGGGACGCACCTCTGCTGGGCCTCCCAGGAGCCCACGAGAGTGGCGACAGTTTCGCAAGCGCCGCGAGGTCTCGAGAGGGTCCGCGTTGGACGTGCATCCGCTGAGCCTCCCAGGAGCCCGCGAAAGTGGCGACAATTACGCAGATTGCAGCCCCCCAGGGCGCAGCGAGGTCTCGAGGTGGTCCGCGTTGGACGCACCTCCGCCGGGCCTCCCAGGAGCCCACGAAAGTGGCGACGGTTGCGCAGATTGCAGCCCCCCAGGGGGCGGCGAGGTCTCGAGGTGGTCCGCGTTGGACGTACCCCCGTTGGGCCTCCCAGGAGCCCACGAAAGTGGCGACAATTTCGCAGATTGCAGCACCTCAGGGCGCCGCGAGGTCTCGAGGTGGTCCGCGTTGGACGTACCTCCGCTGGGCCTCCCAGGAGCCCACGAAAGTGGCGACAATTTCGCAGATCGCAGCCCCCCAGGGCGCCGCGAGGTCTCGAGGTGGCCCGCGTGGGACGCACCTCTGCTGGGCCTCCCAGGAGCCCACGAGAGTGGCGACAGTTTCGCAGATCGCAGCCGCCCAGGGCGCCGCGAGGTCTCGAGGCGGTCCGCGTTGGACGTACCTCCGCTGGGCCTCCCAGGAGCCCACGAGAGTGGCGACAATTTCGCAGATCGCAGCCCCCCAGGGCGCCGCGAGGTCTCGAGGTGGCCCGCGTGGGACGCACCTCTGCTGTTTCGCAGATCGCAGCCGCCCAGGGCGCCGCGAGGTCTCGAGGCGGTCCGCGTTGGACGTACCTCCGCTGGGCCTCCCAGGAGCCAACGAAAGCGGCGACAATTTCGCAGATCGCAGCCCCCCAAGGCGCCGCGAGGTCTCGAGGTGGTCCGCGTTGGACGTACCTCCGCTGGGCCTCCCAGGAGCCCGCGAACGCGGCGACAATTTCGCAGATCGCAGCCCCCCAAGGCGCCGCGAGGTCTCGAGGTGGTCCGCGTTGGACGTACCTTTGCTGGGCCTCCCAGGAGCCCACGAAAGTGGCGACAGTTGCGCAGATTGCAGCCCCCCAG